GGGGGGGGCACGCACACTGTTGGGGAACAGTATGTGCTTCCAAATGTTCTTTCCTCCCTCATGTGCCAGGTCCTTCTGCTTGTTTGGGGGCACGTGGGGAAGCACTTGGCCTGCATCGAGTGACCACAGTGGCTGGGCTGAGCTGCCACCGCGTGCATGTCGTTTCAGAATCAAGTGCAGGAACGTGTGCTTTCTGGCTCAAGTTTTCCCTTTTTTCTGGCCTGATTTCACTGCACACAGTTAATATATGACTGCAACTAGATTAATTTAAAAGTCATTCGCTCTGATCGTAAGCATTGCTGTTGTGGGACCTGCGATGATTTTTAACACAATGCCCATCGTGCTTCCAAAGACAGACACAGATGCCTCTCACAGAGGCAGCAGTAGCCTTCCTGTGTCAGACCTGGGGATCGTGGGAAGGAGCTGGGGTTAAGGCCATGGCAGCTCTGCCTCATGGCCGTCTCTCCTGACTTACTCGGTGGCCGCGGCAGCCCCACTCTAGCTCTGGCTTCAGCCAGCAGTCACCTTCTGGACAGCAGGGCCTCCTCCTGCTCCAGCCAGTTGGGCATCACCTCCTTTCAGAATTCCGATGCTGCACAATCTCAACCTTGCCCATCAGTCCACTTCACAGCCTTCCTCCCATCTCAGGTGGTCCAGGCAAGGGTCGGTGGATCCAAACCAGGCAGTGTTTTCTTTTGCCCCACATAAGGTCACCAGCTACAGCCCTCCCTCCCGTCTTCACTCACCCTCCGTTCCTGCTAATCCTCTCCTCTTCAGAACTCCACATACGCCGAGTTCTTCATACAGAAGTGATTGCTTTGCACTTATCCGATTTTCCTTCTAAATACTACTTGCCACTCAGTGAATTGCTACAGCTGATTTTGATCATGCCCCATTTTTATTTAACACACTCCAAACCTATGCTGTCTTACACACTATGGGGAGGCCCACAGATGCATATAGGCCACCCTTCAAGGGGTTCACTAGATCCTCCTGCACCTCATTATGAACTTCAACCCTGAGCCTAAAGGGGTAAGGCCAAACATAATCTAAGCTCCACAGAACTTCCTTCCCGGCCTTGCTCAAGAAAGCCACAGTGCTCCTCAAGGCCCACACTCGGACGTGAGGGTGGGCACAGAACCTGCCTGACACCAAACTCCAGTGGTGGGGCGGTGAGGCCCGGTGGAGAGATTCCACTGGCCTGCCTGTGGGCGAGGAACACGAGAACGAATGCGATCTATCACCGGCAGGCTTAGCTTGAGAACTTGCTAATACATATGAAGAATTTGCTAACACATATGAAACGTTCTCCTCCCTCACTTCATAACACTTAACAATGACTGTCAATCACTAAGACCAAAGATCACACAAGTAATTAAGTGTTCTCTGATGCCAAGAAGGTATAATAAACAAGTCACTTATCTACCACTTCACCTGACAGAACTCCTTCTCACTGTTTAGCGCTAAAAGTCTCATTTGTGTAAACTCTTGGCAGAGTCCCTCTCTTCTCTAGCTAAAGTATCTCTGCCCAATTAGACTTGATGGTGAGCCAGAGCTGAGGGGAGGTCACTTCACTACAAGACACACTCTTCGCTATGTGTCAGCCGTGCTACTGGACAGCTGTGCTCAGAAACAGATCACTGTATCCACAATTACACCATCTGTATTGGCTTGCAACCTAAGTACCTAAATACTTACAGAAAAACCCCACCTCTGCCAGAGTGCTTACTAAGTGCATTTTATCCTCAGATAAAGCTGTCGCAAAATAATGTGGTCATGCCAAACACACAAATACACGTTTACTCTTAAAATGGAATTTCTCTAACTGTGGTCCACCGAAGGGACCAGTCTGTGACTTCTTAGTACATTACAGATATTGTAGAAATTAGGAACTTCCGTAGCAATTTAATAGAGTAAAGGTAAGCTCGATGAATCTAATTTTTAAAATGGCTCTTGCGCTGCCCACATCGCTGTCTTTTTACTGCAGTGTTTGGTATTTTGTTTTTGTACTAGTATCCATCTATGAAGGATTTTTCGGGGGGAGGGGCAACAAACAAAGATGACACCCCCCCATCCCCCCACCCTCATGCAGGCGGCTTGAGAAGCCTCATTCTTTTTTTTTCCTTTTCATTCTTTTTCTTTTTTTTAAATTTTTTATTTTTTTAAACATTTTATTAGGGGCTCATACAACTGTTATCCCAATCCATACACACATCAATTGTGTAAAGCGCATCTGTACATTGTTTCTCAAAACATTTTCTCTCCATTTAAAACCCCGACATTAGGTCCTCATTTTTCCCCTCCCTCCCCGCTCCCCCCTCCCGCATGAGCCCTTGATAGTTTATAAATGGGTATTTTGTCATATCTTGCCCTGTCCGACGTCTCCCTTCATCCACCTTTCGGCTGTCTGTCCCCCAGGAAGGAGGTCACACACAGTTCCATGTAATCGGTTCCCTCTTTCCTACCCATTCTCCCTTTACCCTCCCTGTTTTGCCACTCACACCACTGGTCCTATAGGGCTCATCCGTCCTGGATTCCCTGTATTTTCAGTTCCTGTCTGTACCAGTGTACCTTCTCTGGTCTAGCCAGTCTTGCAAGATGGAATTCGAGTCATGGTAGTGGGAGCGGGGAGGAAACATTTAGGAACTAGAGAAAAGTTGCATTTCTCATCAATGTTACATCGCACCCTGAGAGAAGCCTCATACTAAAATGCAAACATAACAACCAAAAATCTACTCCACATTTTCACCATGGCCAAGGGCACTGTGTCCTGGTTCTCTGGAGGCGGTCAAAGATTTAGGGGGCCCACAGAGCAGACCCACCCTTTCCTCTTCCTCGCTGCGCACCATTGTCCTGTAAGGATCTGTTGGTGGACTATAGACAGGGGATGCGAAATTCACATTGCGGCAGAAGTGAAATCAAGGAATCTGCAGAGCCCAGAGGCCCACGCTGGCTTGGTGGCCATGCCATATTGTAGGGATTTGGCAGAATTCCATTAGCTGTTGAAGGGAGATGAGTGGAGACACTTCCAGAGAGATTCCAGTGTAGAAGCATTGAGTTTCCAATTAGAAGGATGCAGCTATGTGGTAATCCTAATGGCTTAGAAAAAGCCGGGCAGGACCTTTGCAATGCTGCCCACAGAGGCAGGGAGGAGGATGTCTGGGAGAAAACTCTGAGAGCAGGAACCAACAGACAAACCAACACGACGACGGACACAAGCCTGTCTCCATGCACCGAAATCACAAAACCCCAAATCTACTCGCATCCCCTGTCTATAGTCCACCAACAGATCCTTACAGGACAATGGTGCGCAGCGAGGAATAAAATGTAACAACAGAAAATCTACTCCACATTTTCACTTAGAAATGAAGTCACGTCTCCTCCACATTTACTGAATACACTGATGTTTGGAGAGCAGTCTCCACACTGCGGGGTTGTCATCCACGGAAGCCTAGGTTTGGGGGTATAGCGCCGGGGTAGGTGGAGGGCAGTGGGTGACTCACTCTTGGGGCTTTGAATTAAGGGCACAATTTAAAGGAGGAGAGAAAAAACGTGCCTCCTAAGAACCTGTGGGCAAGGAACCAAACAATGCCGGCTGCTCCTGGGGTTGGCCAGGCCATTCTCTCCTCTAAAGCCTCCTCCTTGGCTGCAGGAATAACAATCCTTCTTTAGGAGCTATGCCGCGAGACACGTGACGAATGTTTAAAAGGCCTCACTTGGATGCAGCTGGAGAAAGCAGCAAAGGCTGAGCTCGCCACCAAGGGTGGGGGGGGGGGGGTTGTTCCTGCTGCTTTGAGGCTGAGAGCTGAGGGTGGGCCTGGAACTCCTAGAAAGGAGAGATTTGTGTCAATGAGCTCCTAAGTCACCCCAAGGTTCTGACACCCCACTCTGGTCTCTTCCTTCAGGTGGAGATCTAAGCCCCCAAACCCACGTCTTTTCTCCAATTTTTCAGACAAACCTCAGAGGGGCTCTTGAGCTTCAGGGCTGGAGTTAGAGACCTCCCACATGGAGGAGGTGGGAGGGAGTTCCTGCACCTCAGACCAGTCCTCGCTGCACAGAGGACTAACCACTGCCAGGTCTCTACTCAAGTCACTGGCTCTTAAGATGCAGTGTGAGACAAAACACCATTCAGCACCGATACTGGTCAGAAACAAACTCCCAGCACTCAGACGTTCTTAGCATTAACTTTAAGAAATACTGACCTGTCTGGTTCTCGGGTCTCTTGCTTTCTGAGTTCCCTGCTTCAGTTGGCAAGGCTCACTTCCTGTAATACATCCCTAAGGAGAAGCCACATGGACCTAGCCCGATGCAGACCTGGGTGCTGGAGCAGCCGTGGAGACCCCTGCCAGTGTTGAGATGCTTACACGTTCACTGATTCGGCTTTCCCCCTGCAGTCGGCATCATTGC